AAGATCATGTGATGTTACTTTGTATTACAGCAGGGGTGTTTATAGTTCTGACTCCACTTTAAAATGCAAATACTGTTACTGGGATATGTATGCAGGAGAAGGATTGCCATAGTAGAAAGAGATAATTGTGAAGAAAATTATATTGTTAAGTCAGTTCTGTAATATTGTTACTACTTTTATCTTTGGTTTTTTGTGTTTTGGGCAGATCTACGTAGTGAGAGTTTTGAGAGAAGGGCAAGTTGAGCCAACATTTGTCTTCCGAACATTTGATGAGTTCCAGGAGCTCCACAACAAACTTGGCATTCTCTTTCCTCTTTGGAAGTTACCAGGGTATGTTCCTAACTCACTCATCACTATTATAATGGAGGCGACAAAACTGCTCCCAGCTGGGTGGAGGAAGAAATAGCTTGAAATGGAGACAAAACTGCTGAGGGGCAGACTAGACCTTGAAGTGGGCAATTAAGGGAGAAAAGTGTCTCGAAGTTTTAAGGAGGGGAGCCAGAGGAGCAACTCAGTGTCTTTAGTGTGTGTGTCGTATCATTTATAACAATTACCTGTAAATGTTTCCTTGCCTTTCTATAATGTTGTTACCTATTAGCATGCTGTGTTTCCACTCATGATTGACATAAAAAAAAAGCATGTCAGCACTTCAGGATGGAAATGACAATGAAATCAAACTGTACTTCAGAGAAATTAGCTGAAAACTACCTTGTTCTTCACTTGTAGCTTTCCTAATAAGATGGTTCTGGGAAGAACACATATAAAAGATGTAGCAGCTAAAAGAAAAGTGGAGCTCAACAGCTACATACAGAGTCTGATGAATAGTTCTTCAGAGGTGGCAGAAGTGAGTTCAAATAACTTAAGCAAATCCAGTGCAAGTTTTCAGATTTTGGTGCTTAACGCTTGAACTAATATGTAACATTTCTTCCAAATTTAGTGTGATCTTGTTTATACTTTTTTCCATCCATTACTTCGTGATGACAAAGTGGAAGGAATAGATGGAATAGCCAGACCTACAGGTAGGTAATGTTTTTGGGGGGTGTTTATAAATTGCATGACTATAGTATGACAGCTTTACAATGTGATTTTTTTTTTAAATCTTTTCTAATTAACTGTAGCTTTCCCTCATTGAAAACTTATGGTTTCACTAAATTATTCAAGTTTTTACTCTAAACCTCCAAGTTGGCTCTTACAAGAGAATGGAAAAATCTTTAAAACCTATGACCTTGCTTTCTTATTAGAGAACTAGAAATAAAATCAGAAACTGAACTTGTTCCAAGGCTTGTATTTTTTCCCCATATATATAATTAGTATAGTACTGATGAAAATGTACAAATATTACAGAGGAAATAATTGTACATTTTTTTCAGATGCAAGTCCATCAAGTCCTACCTCAGGCAAAGTGGGGGGAGAAGTGAAGCTATCCATATCATATAGAAATAGCACTCTATTTATCATGGTGATGCACATTAAAGACCTGGTAAGTAGAAATACTGAGCTAACTGCCAAAAACTCTTTCCATTTTGTCAATTACCTTCTTGACTTAGGTTGATGCAGGAATGGCGGAACTATCTCTTTTCCTTCAAATTTTCCAACTGCCAACTTAACTGCTGCTTTTGGTTAGCTTGACTGCAAAGTCTAGATACTTGAAAATAAATATTCAACTAGGTATGCACTAACTAGTTTTCTAACTTGTCTTGGTTTTGGACTGTAGGTTACAGAAGATGGTGCAGATCCAAATCCCTATGTAAAAACATACTTACTTCCAGATACGCACAAAACATCCAAACGCAAAACCAAAATCTCCCGGAAGACAAGAAATCCAACTTTCAATGAAATGGCAAGTTAAAATTTATCTAGTAGTTCCCTATGGTTTGCTATTGTCTCTTTTTCTAAGCAGTAATTAAAATATCGTCTGAAAAAATGTGCAAAGATCTATAAATGGAAAAGGAACTTGTTTGAAAAACTTTGTGTCCTGGTTTGTTTGGGGTTTTTTTGGTTTTTAAAGAAACCCAAAAACCCCAACGCAACAGACTAGGTAAATGTACTCTTACAAGTAAGTAGAAATTTCTCAGACTGACTCTGAGGAGTGATGGGGAATCTTAAAACTAAAGATCCCCCTGCCCTGGATTCACTGATTCATAATGAGGAGAAGAATTATTTCAGAAGTCTTGGCACGTAAACAGTACTTCTATCTAAAAACACTGGTCCTTTTAAGCACTTAACGCTGGGAGCACAAGATAAAATACAGATGTACTTCAGTCTGTCCTCTGAGAGACGTACTGAATGGTTATAATGTGCAGTTAAGACATCCATCAGTGGCTAGGCAGTCAGAAGGGCAATCTGTGTAACTTCATTTGGATAACCAAAAAATTCTTGACTTCTTCCCTTCTAGCTTGTGTACAGTGGATATAGCATGGAGACTTTGAAACAGAGAGAACTTCAGTTAAGTGTGCTCAGTGCAGAATCGTTACGTGAGAACTTTTTCTTGGGTGGAATTACACTCTCACTAAAGGACTTCAACTTGAGCAAGGAGACGGTAAACTGGTATCGATTAACTGCTGTACCCTATCTGTGAACTCTACACCTGAGTAAGACCAGAACAATTGTATTCACTTGTGCTTTCTGCATCTTCCTACTTGAAGATAACTTGTACATCTTAAAATAAGAGACTCTGCATTTCAACGGATATGTTGGACCAATGTTCATGTAGCCTAATTTGGAGGATTTCTAGAAAACCTGGTTTATGGTTATGCGATGTTATCAAAGCATCATCGTAAATGTTTAAGAGATGCAGGTAAAGGAAGGGGTTTTTAAACCACCCGCGAAAGTGAGATGAATGGTTTGACCATGCTGGTTGGTTAAACCATAACTTAGTCATTAGGCCTGTGGATATAGTGCATTTTTGCTTTTAATTTTTGTTACCTGTGTGGTGTCATCCATGGCATGATGCTAGAGAACATCAAAGAAATGACATATTTTTAGGATTACATTCCCACTACTAACTAGACATCACAGAAGCAGCAACGGGTAAAATTTTGGTGGCTTCACACACACCTGTAGAAATGAAGGATGAAGGGCTGGAAAACTTCCTTAACGTTGCATTTAATCCCAGATTCACACTTCTCTAAGACTTATTAGAGTGAGTGCCAATAATGGAAGTTGTAAATAATGGTGCCTTATAATTCAGATGCTTCTCTTTTACCTCATTTCTCGTATTTAAATATGTATACATGTTAACTTTCAGCTCCTTAAAAAGGGGAAACGTTCTTGTATTTGTAACTTGCAGGTCCTACTGGAAGTCTTTTCCTGAGATGTGTTCTTTACCAATAACATCACTTATACTGATCTTCATGGTTAGTGCAACTTATATAAATTTTTTTCTACCCATCTTCTACCCATGATCTCCAAAAATTTGATGAAGACTGGCTGAATGTTGTGCCGTAGGAAATGTGCCCAGCTTCTCCGTGTTTTGAAATGTCTTAATTTCAAGAACTTTTAAATACTGCAGTGATTAAATGTGGAACAGATTCAAACACTAAATCCAAAGTGGCATTTGCACCTAAATTACTTACCTGTACCTCCAGGTCATGGATGGCCTCTAGTTAAAAAGCACAACTGCTGGATGAATTGCGGGCCAGAAATGAGTTGCATTAACAGAGCTTTGAGAGAAGAACTTCGTCACTTTTTTTTTTAACAGTTCAGAGCAACACTGTTTCTCACTACTGCAAAAATCAATTCCACTAAAATACTTAATTCCAAGGAAGGTGAGGTTTGAACTATATTGTGACAGTGGAGTACAAATGTTACCTACTGTCTCCCGCTAATACCACTGGTTACTTAATTCGGTGTTTCTGCACTACAGGTGAAGCCTTTTTATTCACCTTACTTGGTGCTTAGGATGGTCATGTTCTGCCTAAGCAAAGCTATTGGGTAAAGTTGCACGCTTTTCTTTAGTACTAAATCTGGAAGCAAGATAGACTATCACCACTGACTGTGACTGGAGTGAAATTTTTAAGTAAAATATGCAACTATGAACAAAGACACAATACAGGGAAAGCCTTCTCTATATCCGACACTAAAAACCTATTTCATAATCTGATTTTCCTTCCCCTGCTACTGACCAATCTCCCTTCAATACAGAAGAGAGAAGTAAACTTGAATCTCCTGGTGCCTAAAGTATTCATGGTCCAATTTTGTAGGAATTATTACAATTAAAAAGCTAAGAGTATCTTGAATGTTAGAAACTGGGTTGATACTAATGGACACTAACAAATCCCAGTTTTATTAGGCATCTTCTGCATTTTTTTTTCATTTAGTATATAGCCTGTAAATAATAAACTATATAACTAACTAGATATATTTCCTGCTCACTTGATGCTTTTGAGACTTACTGCATTCCATCATTAGAATCACAAGTCACTTAAACACAGGAAAGTAGACTACTGTTTTTGTGAAACGTTCCATTGTGAAATAAAATGAAAGCAATATGTACTGCCTTTTTTGCAGTTTGCTATTAAAGCACAGTGTCTTACAGCACAAAATACAAATAAACTAGAATCATTTAAAAAATGATTTGCAGTTTTAACAGTTGTCTGGACTCTGAAAAAAATGTATAGTACTGTATTATTGTTAGCACTTGTCCTGACTTCTGATTTAATCTTCATAGCTTAACTCATTTTGTGCCTTTCCCTTCCTTTTCAAAATAGTCACTGGCTGAAGCTTTTTATAGTCATGGCTTTTGTCTGTGGGATCTGGCCTTGGCCTCTCCTCACACATAGAGGAACAGCACCAAGCTTGCACCTCTTTGCACTATTCTCAATTAATAAAAAAGTGATCGTTGCAATAATTTTAATGTGCTACATAAAAAAAAAAAAGATGTGAAAGAGGAAAATACTCAATTGGGGTGGAATTTGCCAGTACACTAAGTAGCTTGAAAACATAGTTTTAACAGCTTTTTATATCTTGTTTAATAAAAAGGAAAAAAAATCTTTTATGCAATGTATGACCTGCAGCCAGAAATACAGGTGTCTGCACAGACAGACCTTGTTTTGGTATTTCAGCGTAACAGCTTGCACCAAGACCTCTTCCTTTTCTCTATTAACCTAGAACTTTGCACTGAAATTTTTATTACTGCCTTTTTACGATCTGCAGCCGCCTGTCTCTGGAAGCACAGAAGTTCGTGTCTCTCTTTGTACAAGCGGGGTGGCGCAGAGCTCCCGCAGCGGGGGTCGCCCCTCGCCGGCCTCGGCGGGGGCCCGGCCCGGCGCTCGCCGCCTGCCCCCCCCCGGGC